AACACATGCATCAATATACATAAAAGGATACAATTATGGCCCCTAGCGCAATTGTTCTCCCAAGCCAATGAGAGAACCTAAGCTAACCTAATAACGATCTAAACTTCTCCAAGCAAGATCTCCAAGGTTATCCTCCTTTGATATTGTATTCTTCTCTTTCTTCATAACATTACATTACATAAAAGAAACTCGTTTTACAAACGAGGGAGTGAGATGAGAAAAGAAGTTACATCAAGAATTTTAGAGAGAGGCACGACACGCAGGCCGTATTTTACAATCCCAAAACAAAATAAAGGAAAAAAAACTAAGGCCATAACTGATCACCACAAGACAATAATAATAAACACACTTTTATTATTAGTTTAAATTTTGTTAATTAAAAAAGGCAAATTAAATTTCGATGATTGATCACTCTTGTGCATTCACAACCCTAATCGCATAACTCTACAACAACACAACCCTTGTGCCGTCATGAACCCTAATGCAACAGTTTCATGCTGTCAAACACATCTCGATTGATAATTCAGTATGATTAATCACATGCCATTGCTTCAGCATACTAATGTCGGATTCCGAAGCATATGAACAGTGATCGGTCAAAGGAATAACAATCATCAAGTGTTTGAATGAACGAAACAGAAACAATATATCACATATACCATCGTTGCATCAGATTTACTTATATCATATATAAGAGTGATCGATCTTATTTGTGTAACCTATGGACGATCGATGTATCGCTGCTTCACCATACTAATGTCGAATTCCGAAGCATAGTCAACATCAATCATCCAAATCGTACACAATAGATGCCAAATTTAATTAATCGTTTATTATTCAATTCATTCTGGTTTTAATCGAATCAAAACAGAAAATATAGAACATAAACAACTATCAGATCCATGGTTTCGTAAGTGGTTCTGATACCACTGAAGGAAAATTGCGATCAAAACGCAGCGGAATATAAAATTTTCCTTTAGAGATCCTTACGAATGAGCATGGTCAGTGATAGAAAGTTTTACCTCTTGTGGCGATTCAGACCTTTGATGTCGTGATCACGAGCGTTGATGAAGAACAACGCCTCTACTCAGTCCACACGAACAGATCGCTTCCGGTCACAGTGCTAGCTGATCACGAACGGAAACCTTGAGTGAGAGAGAGAGAGTCAAAAACGAAAATGCATCAAGTGAAAAAACTTCATCACAAGGGATCTATTTATAGAATCACTCGTGTGGGCTACAAGCTAAAAGCCCAATTAAGGCTATAAGCTAAAAGCCCAATTAAGCTTATGGACATCATACCTTATGATGTACCATATATCACTTATCCACGTGGTACCTTACCACTTTCCGTATTACACTTAAGTGCACCGTACCTTACGGTGTTCCTTATTTATTCTATCTCTCATCAACCTGTCCTTATGTGTGTGACCCTGTAGGTTTTCGCGACGTTGGCAATTATATTAAATTACACATTTAATATAATAAACAGTGAGCGGTATCTAGCAACACATCACTGTTACCCAAGTCACGAAAAATGTCATGTGATCTGACCAAACCTTTTCCGTGATAATATTTGTGTTGTACAATTACCCTTTTGCCCTCATGTCTATATTGAACACAAGGCATACACTGTGTCACCCTTGTCCAGTTCAATATTGGGCCCTTAGACATTTATCCTGTTATGCAGGATGAGCAAATTCCATCTAGGTCACTCATGTCCCTTAGCATGCTTTGTGAAGTACCCATCAACCATCTTTATAGTCATCCAGTTACGGATGACATTTGATCAGCAATAAAGTACTTGACTCTACATCTAGGGTCCATAGTGGTTTCAGGTAGAAGGGTGGTATACACCATTATCATCATGAGAATAACTTATGACACTTTGCATAACATTCTATGTAGTATTCTCATAACGGGTCAATCCAGTATAAATATTACTCCTAATATTCATACCTATGTCAAGACTTGATAACTCCTTATCTATGATCCATGAGATGTGATCATCAATCTATCTTCATAATAATCTTAATGCTTTAATGTTATCCCACTTCACATTAAAGCTTGACTACGGATACTTTAAGAATAGTTTCTTATGTTTAATGGGATCTCATGATTAAGTCACACTTAACATTTCATTAAACCAATAAACCATTCTAGGGACTTTATTATTTTGGAAAACATAATAAAGAAATGCCTTTTATTATTAATAAATAATTCGATACAAGTACCAAAAGTATTGGCCTCTAGGGCTTACACCAACAGTGTGCATAACTTTAGAAGACTTCTAGATGTTTTATCTGATCATCATGTTCTCCCTTTCATTGTTCATTTACTACCTCATGTTTTTGGATGTGTTATATATGTTCACTTACACCCACATCAACGTACAAAACTTGAAAAATGAGCTCTTAAATGTGTCTTTGTTGGGTATGGATCAACTAAAAAAGGTTATCGTGCTTATCATCCATCATCTAAAAAATTTTATATTTCAATGGATGTAACTTTTCATGAAGATAACTTTTTCTATGTTGATTCTACACTTCAAGGGGGGAATGAAAGTGAAGTGCAGCACCATGATGTTAGCATGTTTGACTTATTTTGTGAAGATAAATTATCTTGTGAGGATCATTCTGCAAGTAATGAATCAATCTCAAATATGGACACATCACCTTTAGATAATACAGTTTCCCTTGACGATAATCAACTAGCTCAATCTTCTCCAAAGGATCAAGTTAACTCTTTAGAGGTATTTCCTAATTCTATTCCCGATAATACAATTATCAATGGAGTTGATACTAATGTTCATTCTGAAGTTGATTCCTTTTCTCATGAAATTGACCCTAGTTTCCATGAGACCACCAACACACCTAACACTGAATCCATTATTGTCCAATATAATCTTCCACCTCGTTCTAACCATGGTCAACCTCCCATTAGATATGAACCAGACCTTCAGTCCGAAGTTAAATATCCCATTAGTAATTATGTGTCATCTCACAAGTTATCTAAGTCACATGCATCATTTGTATCTCAATTATCCTCAATTTCTATTCCTAGTAATGTGCAGGAAGCTTTAGCAGATCCTAGATGGACTGAAGTAATGGTTGTGGAAATGGCAGCTTTAGAAAAAAACAACACTTAGGATCTTGTGATGTTACCAAAAGGGAAGAAAACTGTGGGGTGCAGATGGGTTTATACAATTAAACACAAAGCTGATGGAACTATTGAGAGGTATAAAGCACGACTAGTGGCTAAAGGTTACACTCAATCTTACGGTGTAGATTATCAAGAGACATTTGCGCCGGTAGCCAAGCTCAACACTGTGAGAATACTTTTGTCACTAGCAGCAAACCAAGATTGGCCTCTTCTACAATTTGATGTGAAAAATGCTTTCCTACATAGAGAAATTTTAGAAGAAATTTATATGGATCTACCACCAGGTATGATAGATTCAAATGAGATGAAGGTTTGCAAGTTAAGAAAGGCTATATATGGATTAAAACAATCCCCAAGAGCATGGTTTGGTAGGTTTACTAAGTCTATGAAGGCTTTTGACTATAAAGCAAGTAACTCTGAGCACAACTTATTTTTGACGAAAGGAGGAGGTAAAATTACAGCTTTGATTATTTATGTAGATGATATGATTGTTACAGGGAATGACCAAGATGAGATGTCTAGTTTGCAAAAATACCTCGCTTCTGAATTTGAGATGAAGCAACTTGGAAACCTCAAATATTTCTTGGGTATTGAAGTAGCTAGATCTAAACATGATATTTTTCTATGCCAGAGAAAGTATACTCTTGATTTACTATCTGAAACGGGACTGCTTGTGTGTAAACCTGTTGATACCCCAATTGAACAAAATCATATGCTATTTCAATGCCAAAATTCAGCCAACATAGACAAAGGAAAATACCAGAGGTTGGTGGGAAAACTAATTTACTTGTCTCATACACGGCCAATATTACATATGCAGTAAATGTCGTTAGTCAATTTATGCATGATCCACGGAAAGCTCATATGGATGTTGTTGAAAGGATCTTGAGATATTTGAAGTCCACTCCTGGAAAAGGAATTTTATTCTCAAATCATAGAAACTTGAAGGTAGAAGGGTATACCGACACTGATTGGGCAGGTTCAAGAAATGATAGAAGGTCTACCTCTGGTTACTTTACATTTTGTAGGGGGAATCTTGTAACTTGGAGGAGTAAAAAACAACAGGTAGTAGCAAGGTCTAGTGCTGAAGTTAAGTTTAGAGGCATGACACTAGGAGTTTGTGAACTTTTATGGATACAAAATGTTCTATCAGATTTGGGTTTTGAACTAAGGAAGACTATGACTTTGTATTGTGACAATACTTCAGCAATTGCCATTGCGCACAATCCTGTGTAACATGATAGAACGAAGCATGTAGAAATCGATAGACATTTTACCAAAGAGAAACTTGAAGCTGGAATAATTTCTTTTCCTTTTGTAAGATCTGAATTTCAGTTAGCAGATGTTCTCACTAAAGGAGTGGCAAGTAAGGTGTTTAATGAGTCTTTGTTCAAGTTGGAAATGTGTGATATCCATGCACCAACTTGACTGGGGTGTTAAGATAAGTCAAAGATATTTTAGCTAAATTAAGTAGGAAAATATTTGTGCTGTAAATAATTTATTTCATTCCTTTAATGGAAGAGGAATTATAAGAGACTCTTTTATACATATATAGTACCTTGATCAATGAATAAAATCATCAGAATTATTACTTTGAAATGTTATATATATATATATATATATATATATATTAAATATATGTTTTAATATTATAAACATTTGAAGGGTAAGAAGCTTTATCGAATATTAATGCTATTATAGTTTATAAAAAATCCTTTATGAAATATTTTATATATATATTTATTTTAATATAATATATTATTTTAAATATTGAATTTTAGATATATTTAATGTGTGTTTTATATTTTTTAGACAGTAAATCTTGATACAACCCAAAACATGATATTTCGTGGAGCATCGGCGGGCATAGGTGGATATAATCTATCGCTTCAAGCAAATCAATTAAGTCTATCTTCTATATGGTTAGAAAGTGGACCCTCAATAGAACTTAATAGTATAAAAGCCGGAATCGGAGTAAGTGTGTTTGAGAAAGAGAAATAGTGTTATTCCCCACAACAAAAATCCCTTTATGATATACTACTACTCACATTTAATTTTGTATGTTTAAGGTTCATCCAAATTTATATGGAGACAACCAACTACGATTAACGGGTCAGTGGACGGTAAGAATGTACATTTAATACATTAAATATATTAAATAGTTTTAAAAACATAATATGATAAAAATAGATAATTTGATTATGTCAAACTTCTTTTGATATAATAAACATGCAGGCAGATGGTTTAAAAAAAACAGGATGTTACAATATTCTGTGCTCGGGTTTTGTGCAAGTTAATCGTGACAAAGAGTATGCTCTTGGAACTATCCTTCATCCGGTTGGTTCAATTGGATCAATAAAAAATCAATTGGTCTTATCAAAATTAAACAGGTAAAATTTATTATGAATGTATTAAAAATAATTTAAATGTATATATTTTACAAATCATTACTCCAAGATTATCAACTCTTGAAAATAATGTTTTATTTAAGATATATAGTAAATGATTAAATTTCAATATTTATTTTGATTTTGAGAATATTGATAAAAAAATTAATAAAATAGAAAACCAAAAATAATTACAATTCATTATGATTTAATGTTTTATGAATTAAATAATATTATTATGATAAATTAATAAGATTTTTTTTAGTAACTTGACTAATATTGTGTTAATTGCTAAAATATGTGTAGGATCGATCTACCAGTCATTGGTGGTTAATTATTCAAAAAGAATTAATATATATAGGATATTGGTCAAAAGAATTATTCACTCACTTACAAAAAGGAGCATCTCTAATAAGATTTGGAGGTCAAACATATGCCCCTCCTAATAAGGATAGTCCTCCAATGGGTAGTGGGAGACTACCTAAAGAAAATTTTAAAAACTCGGGATTCATGGGATTATTAGAGATTATAGATTCAAAATATAATGAACAAGATATTAAACCCGAAAATATGAAGATCTATACCGATAGCAAATCAGAGTGTTATGACTTGAGATATCATGGTTATTGTTGTACCCCAAAATTTGCCCTCTCATTTTTATCAACATTTCTCATCACAAGGCTCTTGGAACTCAAGATCAAGCTAGGGTTTGCTCTGCTCAAGACATCTCCTTGCACTGTTGACATGAATTAGGGTTTGAGTTTGCACAGGGATTTTTGGACCTTCAATTCCCAAAGTGACTTTCATACTTCATGTTGGACTCATAAGTTTGCCCATACCAAGTTTCAAGCTTTGAATCAAAGTTTTGCCCAGTCAATTGGACAGTTGACCTAGAAATCAACTGTATTGGGGAAAAAGTCAATTGTGGCCAATTTACAGTCAAACCTCATGAATTTTGACCCACATCAACATTATGAACTCATATGAACCATTTGATCAAGTTTGGACCATAATTCCATAAGAAATTTGATCAGATCACCAAAAGGGCAAAATGGTCATTTTTAGGGTTTTGACTGTACAAAGGCAATTTTGGACTGTTTGACCTAGACAATGGAAAATTAAGCTCAACCATTGATTCAAGGACTCAATTACATCATCTTGACTTATTCAACAAGTTCAAAAGATCTCAAATGCATAGGATTGACAGATGAATTTTTCAGTCAACTGATCAAAATTTGACTGTACACTGAAAAGTTAAACTTTGAATTTTTGGTCAAAATCAAGTGCCAAGGGTCATTGTTCATCAAGATATGTCAAATTATGAAACTTGTTCATCAAGAAACCCAAAATTGCAAATTAGGGTTTGAAATTGAAAAATTTCATAACTTAGAAATTTTCCAAGTAATGAAATTTTCCTAATTTTTCCTAACTTTGCCCCACATTTTCACCATGATGAAAATGGATTCAAACAAAACTTACAACATGAAAGTTGTAGTCATCCACAAAGTCTACAACTTTGATTCACAAAGTTTTATCAAAAGAAGCTTGGATCTCAAGTTATGATTTTTGGAACAAGGGTTCCTAAAACTTTTAACTTAGAGAAATTTTGCCCTAGTTTAGGCAGGGTTTTGACCCATCTTCTTGGCCATTTTTAACATAGTTCCACTTGGAGTCTCAAGTTGCATTTCAAATATGGATTATAGTTCTTGTTGCAAGCTTTCCAAATTGTCCAAGAACTCCTCAAACACATTTGTGGTTAGGGAGAATCGAATGCTTGAAGTTGGCAAAAACTCACTTTGTATCCATGGCCAATTCATGTTCATAAAACATACATTTTCAAACCAGCATGCCTTGTACTAGTTTGCAGGCCTCTAAACCAATTCACACTCCTTAATTGAATGCAAATCCACTGAGCTAATGTATTATCTTGACCATTTGGACATTACACACAAAACTAAGCCTTAATTAGAAAAAGGTACATTTCCATTTTGAAAAAGGTTTGCTTTATGTCAAAACATGATCTTTGAAGCATGGGGCCAAGATCTGAGAAGCCAAATCAAATCCACAAAATTGCAAGTATCGAGAGGATTGTACGCAGCATGTTATATGGCTGGGGCAGGCTTGTGATACCAAGTTACACATTCTTGCTTCACAAAGAAGAAACTTGTCAAAATCCTCCCAACTTGAAAACCAGCCATTGTTAGCTTACACAAACATTACAAACATATTTCACACAACCCTTTGAGCCAGAAACACAAGGGTTTGAGCCTCAAAACCTCCCATAGCCAGAAATCACTCTTCTTTGGCAAAACAGGGCAGGTGCTGCAACTTGAGTGCCACAACTCATTTTGCTCGTGCGTTTTGCCCCTTTTTGCTTCAAACACCTTCCATTCAACTCACTCAAGCTATCCCAAACCTCCATTGCCAACTGTAACTCCATTTACAGTGTTCACCATTTTCATTCCAAGCTTGTGCAGGTTGACTTCTAGAGGCTGATTCAGGGACATTCAAGGCAAGCTAGCTATTGGAAAAGATCAAGTGAAGTTCAGGCAAGCTACTAGACACCTCAAAACTTGTTGAGAAGCACTGCATTGCCCTACTCGAATCCAACTGAAACAGGTTTTTCATCACTTTCTATCTCTCTATTTAGGAACATTTAGCCCTAGATTTATGAATGAAAAATGTAGTATTCAATGCCATGAAGCCATACATATGCTCAGCTTTCATTTATATTAAGTGTGCTAGGAGAATTTCATCGATGAACATGCTGAAAAAACTAGGTCAGATTTTAGGGCCAGAGAAATTCTCTCTGGTCTTTGAGAGTTAAGATTAATGCTTTATATGGTTAGAATCGTATTGAAATTCTCTACAAGTTTGATGTTGTGAGTTTTGGCAAAAGATCACATTTCTAGGATGTTCAAGTTTGTACAACAGGCGCGCGTTTTTTGTCTGGAGGAAGAAGATGAAGTTGGCTTGGGCTGGGCCTGGCCATTTTTGCTTATAACACCCATTTTCTCAGTTTCACACCCCATGGCCCAATTTCTTATATTTTTGCATTTTTGAATTTTTGTTTTCTTTTCTGACTTTGTTATTTTATTTCCAAATATAATAAATGCTCAAAAAACATTTTCATAATTATTTTAATTTATTTAGCATTTTATTCTAATTTTTTCTAACAAAAAAACATTTTTAATACTTTTATAATTTATTTAGAACTTGAAAAAGTAATGTAAATAATACTTTTATTTTTATTTCTTATTTTTATTCACACTGAAAATATTATTTAAAATACAATTTATTTTTGTATATATTTTATTTTATTTTTGTACATATTTAATTTATTTAATATATACATATATACATATATACTTTTATTTTAGTAAATACTTAGAATAAAAATACAAAAATATTACATTTTTATTTTTATTATTATTTATACTAAAAAATGCATTTTTAGGTATATTTCATTTTTTTACACATATTAATATGTTTTTGTACAGAAATAATATATAATATTTATTTTCTTAAAGAAATTAGGGTTTTACCCTAAAAACAATAAAATTAATTATTTTCTTTATTTATTTCTTCATACTTTTTACATTGAAAATACTTTACATACATAAACAAATAAAAAATTCTTTTTGCATAATACATTTTATTTAATATTTATTTATTTTGTTTAATTAAATATTGCCCATTTAAATATTGATGCATTTGAGATTCAATTTGGATGTAATAGTAAACTAGGGTTTATATTTCTTGTCAAATACCCCCTATTCAAACTTGTACCCCCATCCCCATAATCATGTTGTAATAGCTTAGAATTTAAATTCTCGCATTTTACGCTTTCAAATATGCCATGATTAGAGAATTAGGGTTTGTATGCAAAAATCAAAATCAACAAATAGTTTGACCTAATCAAAGACAAAAATGCATGAAAATTAAACACAATGCACACTTGCACCCCTAGGGTTACAATCCACTTGTTGCCTTAAAAAATGGGCCATGGTATGCATGTTGGGTACTTTGGTAAAACCAAAACAAAACAAAAGATCATAGTCCCTCGTTGACGCTATCTGAGTTGCCTAAACAAAAATGATCAAGTCCCTCAAGAAAATTGCCAAAGATACTTGACACAATTTATATCATGGTCTATACGATGACCCGCGCTTGTCCCGTTTAACATCCTAACACAAGGTTGTTCACCAAATGCAATGGTGAAACAACACTGTCAAAAGGGTTAAAAACATAAGAAAGATCTTTGAGTAAAATAGGGTAGATAGCTCTTAGTTACTTGATCAAAAGCTTGCAAAAACATCCTTGCTATTTTCAAACACACCTCACAACACAATTCCAAATCAAACTTTCAAAACATTGTAATCTCTCCAAAAGACAAAAACCCCTTTGTATACATTCAAACAAGAATCATTACAAAGGTTGCCACAATGATGACCTCTTTTTAAAACATCTTTCAAAACCACACACAAAGCACCATTTCAAACAATTGAAAAGCACCATTTCAAACAATTGAAAAGCAAAGCAAGTGATCTAAACAAGTAACTAAGAGCCCATGGATAACCATGGATGAAAAGGATGCTTGCACCTTTCCTTTTCATAATCTACTCCCCGAACCCAAGAAAACATCTCAAAGGTCTTTCCTGTGCTTTTTGACCTTTCCTTAGGATAAAATAAAAATTCGGTGGCGTCTCTTGCTAAATCGAAACATTTGTAAATACAAACGCAAAACCTCAAGTAAGTTCTCCCACCGTATCACAGTTATGAAGGGCCTTTTTATCGACAAGCTTTCTTTATGATGGGCCAGGCGGACAAAATTGTGATATATGAATATATCAATAATTTTAATTAATAAAACTATGATTCATCATTAATAAAGGTTGTGTTATAAATTTACAATAACAATATATAATATCAAAATCATGATTTTTATTATATCTTCGTGATAATGTTATGATCATGATATGTGCAAGTAGAAAAATGTTACAAATACTAAATTTTAATTAGCTTTAATATTTTCATTTAATTTAAACACAAATATTTTGGCATTGATTAAAATTTGGTATTTTAAATTGTATGACAAGTCATCCATAAATTGTTGTTGTGTTTTTTAATGTGAAATTGTGTCTTGTTTAGATAAATTTTACAAATTTAATACTCACTCCGGTCTAATTTATAAGAGAAAATTTGTTTTTAGATACATTTAAAAATTAATGTATTTGATCCATATATAGTCCATATATATTGATTATTCAATGTATCTAAAAAGGAAATTTACAAACTATGACCGGAGGTAGTAGTTATTTTGCAAACTAAAAA